AAAATACGATGAGAAATAGCTTCAGTGACATAAAACAAATAAAAGTGCAAAATACTTATAGGTTCTATCCATTATAAAGTTCATTCTAAAAAAAGGATAAATATAACTTTATAAAAACTGAATATTATTATTAATGGAAATATAGATCACTGTTATATTCTTATTTTTATATTTTTTAAAGAAAAAAACAAAAATGAAATGAGATATAAATTACGTTACATTTCTATTCTTATGTTCCTTAAATATAGGAATTAAAATTGAAATGGATAGTTAATACTAAGATCTTAAAGTTTTAGGATTTATACGATACGATTAGTTGTGCTTTTAGAATTTGATCTTTATTACTCCATGTTTACGTATTGTTTATACTTTAAATTCAAACAGATATTAGTTTAAAGGCGTATTAAATATGAAGAAACTATTTCTCTCTATCTAATAATTGAAAAACTTATAATCATTGTTGCGTGATATTTTCCTTCTCCACTTTAAGCGTAATCATGAATTCTTCTTGGCTTCAACTATTTAAGTGACATATGTGGAAACTTCTCGTACAATTTATCATGAAGTAAAATTCAGGATGGGCCACTGAAGTTCTAATGCTTCAAGTCTTTAGAGTCAAGTAAAGATTGACAAAAATGAACGGCAATACATTTTATTTGTTTTTTTTTAATTAACACATTTTTGCTAATAATTATTAAAAATCTAATTTTGAACTTGCTTATTCTAAAATATATGCTCACACATGTGGGTCATGCTTTTCAATTGCCATGCGCTTTCCTTCTTTTTGACCGGTATGGGATTTGGCAACATAGCTTTAGCATCTATGCGGGAAATTTCCCTTATTGTCCTCTTGTCACTAACGTACTCTACCCACCAAATTGATTTCCGTTACTTTGAAACTTTAAAAACATCACCTGTGTGTATAGAGCAGTTTCATTCTCACATAAAAAGGTTGAAGGAACCTCAATTTCATCAAGTTCAGAAACAGAAGACATGGCACCAATCACTACGTACTTGTTGATGCTCATCTCCTCAGTGTTCTATGTTTTCGGGGATGCCCAGGTGATTTTTGAAGAGTTTACCGTTCAGGATCGTCTTCGCGTCCCATTGTCTTCATTTGTTTATGCTCTCGATAACCATGAATTTCCAATCATTATCTGAATCAGACTCTTCATAGCTGTACCTCTCTCTGTGAGTATTCCATAGATACCTTACTTAGTTTCGGATGGAGTTTGTACTGGGCGTGTTATTTTCTCCATGTTCACGTTTTATTGCTTACAGAAGGGTTTTATTTTATTAGGTAAATTATATTATCTATTTTCTTATTTAAATGAATTTGTATTTGATTTTTTTTTGCCTATATGTATTTTTATTTATTTATATAGCAGCATAATATCATTTATTCTTTCCATTATATTAGTTGTGTAATTTTGTTAAATTTGAAGCGTGATTGCAATTTATCTTTTTGTTGCAAAAAATAATATTTTATTTTATGTAAGGGCTGTGGAGAAAAGATGACGTAGAGATATTCGAAGAGGATCTAAATTTTACTCTAGTTAATCTAACTTGTAATTGAATGCAAAGGAAGAAAAGTAATATATTTATTTAAAATAGAAAATTTATCTTTTCTTCCCCTTCCCTCTAAACACCTTCTGAAGCAACTCTTTCAAGTTAAATAAGATTTGATTTATTGATGTATCTCACTAATTAACCACAAGGTTGCAGTGATGGTATCGTTTTCTTTTTTGATTTTTTTAGCCATCTCTTTCAATCAAGGTCAGCTATAATTAATGTTTTAAAGAGATGGGAGCGGATAAGGAATTACGAAAGAAGTATACATGTAAAAGCGATTAGATATCGGTAACTTGGATTAATATCTAACAAATGCAAGCAAAATTGGCTAACATCATAACATTGTGTGAAGGCCAATATTTTGTAGGTAAAACTAACCATCAGCCTAAACGTTTTCTGATGTTTATATATTTGGCTTTACATGCAGATAAGAGGACCAATTATATTGCCAAAAAAAAAAAAACAAATTGGTTAGGTCATCCAATTAAATTCCTATAATTAATGGGTTAATTATAAACTAAACTTTGCTTTAAAATTAATATCATTTCATTCAGTTTTAAGGTAACATAAGCATGAACTTCAATTTTTTGTCATTTCAAATATTTACTTTATACAACAAGATTTAAATATGATGACCAATTTTTAAACCGAATAAAGGCGATGTTTTATTTTAATTTTTTTCTAAAATAATGTCTGACATCACTCGATTCTTGAATTGGCACCAATCCTCACTACATAATATATTAAACTTCTTTTGTAACGAGAGAATAGAAAATAAAATTGGGAATATGGTATCCCGGTAAAATTATATTTCATTTTTAAAGTGTTTTGTATTTAAATTTCAAACTTAAACATATAAGTAAATTTTAATATTGAGTATTATGAACAAGAGTATTAATATAACAATAAGTATTATTGAATAAAATTTCAATGAATTTAACATAGTATTGTATGAATTTCTTAAAATCATTTTTTTACAAACTTATATTAATAAGTCAATCAAAAATTTTAAAAGAGAATATATGATTAAACAAATTTTAACATAAATCAGTACAAACACTTAAAATATTATAAAGCATAACAAAAAGACATATTGTTTACAAGTAGTGATGATAATACGGTTTAATTTTATTTGTTTTGTTTATAATAATATCTGAATAAACTTTTAAAATTCATATACATATAAATCATTGTATTTAAATTTATGTACAAAGTCGATGTACCTATCGGTTGTTGAATGTTTGGAAAGCAATGTATGTGAAGGAAAAAGATAGTCATTAATGCTGTGGATCCTTAAATTCGGGAATGGAATAAGAGAAGATCAGATTTGTTAAATTGAAATTGAACAAGGGCTACATTTATTATGAGTTACAACTTTCTTTTTTCTTCTTATCCTTGAATTTATTATGTATAATAACAATGTAATCCCTTGAAATCAGAACATACATGATGAAAAGGGGAAAAAAGGATTATAGAGGACGAATGAACCAGGGCTTGAGTTTATTCAATATACATTTCCCCGCATCCCTCGTATATTAATGTACTGTCAATGCTATATGTTAAATGATGATATTCTTACTAATTCAAAGTTCACTTTTTCTCTTCAAATTAAATTAAAAAAACAAACATGAACTAGTGTAATGGATTAAATAGAATTTCTTGTAAGTCTAATTTTTCAATAAAATCTTATTACTTTTAAGTTTTTATTCAACCTTAAAATTAGACTTTAATAAAACAGTAATACTTAACTCTATTAAATGCTCAACCGTATTACATGTCTTGGTGATTGGGTATTTTTATAAGTCGATAGTTAGCACCCCTATTTTTCAATTTAGATGTCTCTATAGGCTTGCAACCATGGATGAAAAACCTAGACCAAATCATAGATAAAGAATAATCTTTATGCAGAAATTGGTTTATAAAATGTGATGTAGTAGAATAATTTACAACGATAACTTGTGTTATTTTTTGGGGTCTATAAAGATAATCTGTGTTAAAGCATTCAGATTGGTCTTGGGCTGATGAGTATACTTTCTGGTTTTTTGGTCCAACGAATTTAACTTTAAGAAGAGCTTCGTTTGATACAAAATAAGCTCTTCAAAATATCGAGCCGCTTGGGCCAACACTACAACAAATCACAAGAAAACATATAAACGGGCTTGCTATTTAGAAAATGACAAGTTTCTACCTTATTTTGATTCTATTTCCTTTTATAAGTGAAACTCAACAAAGCAACTAAGAACAAGTACACACTGATTTTGTCTTAGCCTAAAGATGTGAATTTGTGAAGACGCAAAATTATTTAAGTGTAACTAATGATTTGGTTACTTTGATACGAGGAGATTATGACGGATAGGGTAGAACTGCAGAAGGAAAATCCAGGACGGAAGAAGCAAGGGGCGCACATATGGTAATTACAAAAATGGATACCTTTTTGGCTGTGCCACCTACTTCCTTCATCCTCATTAATTCAACTGGTAAGCCTCAACTTCCACCTCTCACTACACTTTAATGTGCCTCTGCCCGTCTTCTACCAGCTTGTTCGTTGTAGCTTCTCTTCTTCATTCAATGTCATCACTTTTTAATAAAGGTAAATTATGTTGTATTTCTAAAAAAATAATTAGATATAAAATATTTTAACTAACAATATTTAGATATATGTTTAAATAATAAATTTATTTACTAATAATTTATTATATTTAAATAAATTAAAGAGTATTTAAATTTAAATTTAAAAAATTAAGATTTAAAAATAAAATAATAATATTAAATTAATATATTATTTATAAAAAATATAAAATACTTAAATATGAATTATATTTTATTTAAAATTAAGAATTTATAAAAAATTAAAAAATTAAATATATAATAAATAAATATGTATATATATAATAAGACCATATAATAAATAATATAATTTTAAATAAATTATATATGATAATATTTTTTTTAATTTGTCACGTGTCTCTTTTTTATTAATATAAATTCTTTTAGTATAATATTTATAAAAAAAAACTTAAGATATTACAGTACACACATTTTATAAATATAGAAAAAAAAAGATAATATTTTAAATTTTATAATCATAAATAAATCATATATAATATTAATTAACTTTATATTCAATAAAAAAATTCTTAAATAATACAAGTACGAATTCTCTCCTGCCGGCAGGAGAAACTTTAACTGCACAATTACATATTTTTTTGTTCTTTTAATTATAAGCAAAATTACATTAATGATTTAAATTTATGCATAACATTGGCTGCATCAAAATCTTCATGAGGGTAAAATAGTTTTTTGTTTTTAAAAATAAAATATAATACAATAAATATTTATATTACTAATAATATAGTATATAGTCTAGATTTATTTTAAAATGTCATTTTCCTTCTAATTTGAATTAACACACACATATAGTAATAAAAAATAGAATAAATAGTGAAGGAGAGGATGGGTAAGAAGGCAGGAGAAGGGATTGCATTGGGGAGGGATAACAAACCAATCCAACTCTCAGTCTAACTCGGCTCTGCCATTCCTATTTCCAACTCTCAGTACTAAATTATAATCCCACAGAGAGCGTGCACACAAGTGCGCATTTTAGCCACAATGGTGCACCCAATAGCGGAGGCCAACGAGCACAGCCCGTTCGGCATGCAAACACCGGACGAGTTCTACGCTCGTCACTCAGTGAGCCACGGTTCCGAGTTCATCACAAATTCCAGGGGTCTCAAACTCTTCACTCAGTGGTGGACCCCACTCCCTCCCAACACTCTCATCGGAACCCTCGCCGTCGTCCACGGTTTTACCGGCGAGTCCAGCTGGCTCCTCCAACTCACCGCCGTTCACTTTGCCAAGGCCGGTTTCGCCACCTGTGCCATCGACCATCAAGGCCACGGCTTCTCCGACGGCCTCGTCGCTCACATCCCCGACATTAACCCCGTTGTCGACGACTGTATCACCTTCTTCGACAATTTCCGTTCTCGCTTCGATCCCTCGCTACCGTCGTTTCTCTACTCCGAATCTCTCGGCGGCGCTATCGCGCTTCTCATCACTCTCCGCCGTAACGGATCGCCGTGGAACGGACTCATCCTCAACGGCGCCATGTGCGGCATAAGCGCCAAGTTCAAGCCGCCGTGGCCGCTCGAGCACTTTCTCTCCGTCGTCGCGGCGATAATTCCTACGTGGCGCGTGGTCCCCACACGCGGCTCGATTCCTGAGGTGTCGTTCAAGGTGGAGTGGAAGAGGAAGCTGGCGCTGGCGAGTCCGCGGAGAACGGTGGCGCGCCCGCGCGCTGCCACGGCGCAGGAGCTGTTGAGGATTTGCCGAGAGCTGCAGGAGAGGTACGAGGAGGTGGAGGTGCCGCTCCTGGTGGCGCACGGCGGCGAGGACGTGGTCTGCGACCCCGCGTGCGTGGAAGAATTGTACGCACGCGCCGTCAGTAAGGACAAAATACTGAAGATATATCCGGGCATGTGGCACCAGATGATTGGAGAACCCGAAGAGAACGTGGAGTTGGTGTTTGGGGATATGTTGGAGTGGCTTCGCACTCGCGCTCAACGCGCCGCCGTACACGGTGACGCTTAAGGGCAAACTTTGTAGTTGTTCAACTATGAGATAATAATATTGGTTGGGTCTTTCTCAGATAAGATATTTGTCGTTACAAAACAGTTATGGGTTTCACGCATCGCCACCCTATCCGTGCAGTTAACGAAATTAAGTTTTCCTATTAATTACATTTTTTAATTAAAATACCAGAATAAAGTTTTTTGTAACTACAGTACAATTATGATTTTTTATGTTTTTTAAACAATTGAATAATTATGGTTTTCTTTTATGTTTGTAAAAGAAGATAAAGTACTGTGATTTTGTAAAAGAAAAATGTATGGAAGTATTTAGGATCGTTATATTGTCCCAACTTCCAACCCCCAATTTTATGGGATGTCCGTCCCAAAGTATGACCCACCCACCAAATTTTGACATAAAAATATGAAGTCCACCTTCATTACTTTTTGCAAGTTAACAGGATACTGCCTTTACTTATATTTCCATACTAAAATTTCTTTTATTAGAGTTATTTAATATTTTTTCAAATATATTTTTATTTATCTTATTATATAATTTTTTCAACCTTTTACACTATTTAAATATCATTATTTTTTTATTCATTAAAAAGTATTAATAAAAATATTAATATTATAAATTTTTATTTAGATAGATAAAAGGGAATATTTTTTCTTTCTTTAAACAAATAATTTTTTTTAAAAAAAAGTTACGACATACTATGTTCTTTTTTGACTTTTCTTAATAAAATCGAATATTTGGTTTTTAAACTATACACAACCCTCTAAATAATGTGAATTTTTGTTACTAGATAGTAGCTTTTACTCCAACTAGTTGTCTCGAATGAATTTTGATAAACAACAAAATGACACGTTGCTAATATTTTTTAAAAACAAAATTATGTCAATTTTTTTAATTCCTAAACTTCTTATTATTTATCTTTTAAGACAATTTATGATTATTAATTACACAAATTTATACAACAAAACAATTTTTGTTTAACAAACATACCATTATTAAAAAATTAAGAGTATACTTGTGAATCATTTAAGATTATATTAGAGTATTACCAGAAAAAATCCTTTAATTTATAAAATGAAATTTAAAAAAAAAATTAAATCGCCCAAAGAAACATATAATACATGGACATATATTTTTAAAATGCATCAAACATAAAACTTGAATTATATATCAAGCAAATCTCATTTTAACCCATTGACCAAATGTTATTATGGAGTTACAGAGAACGATTTCGAAATAAACTAACAAATGTCTTTAGGTTTATTCGAATTAAAAATCTACAAAAAATAAAAATATAAGAAAATATTTATTTCTGGGCCATACAAATTGAGCTAAGATCCACCAATTTAGTAGTAGGTAAAGATGTTAAACTTAAATCCAATCATAATCGTGATGTGATGAATGGGCACGGAGGACAAACTTTAATTCCTATTCCACACGTAGTTGGGTCTCACTGTACTACAAATGGTTGAGCCCATTCCTCTTTTTGGTCAATAGTTGAGCCCATTAAATCTCACCTTTTATGGGTCAGGTCCAGGAACAATATCTTTTTTTTGTTTGCTGTTCCTCTTTGACAAAAAAGGTTTACTGGTTCACAAGATTTCAATAATTGTATGTTGGATCCAAATCTTCTGTCACTGACTCAGAAAAAAGAGTTAAATAGAAAAGGTCGATTGTAGACCAACTAATATGATTTATATGCTTATCAAAGTCTTACCTGAAAATGTTTGAAGATGGCATAAATAAAAAATATTATAAATACAATAATTTATTTAGTATTTACTACAACAACAACACACACACTTTTGAGATTTGAGTAATTGTATATTAGACAAAAATTTATAAATTTATTTACCTGAAAATTACAAGAGAGATGATTTGTAATAAAAATACAATAAACTACTAATTTTTATGCATTTAATTTTTTACTTTATTTTTCCCCATCTTGCGGAAAATTGTTTAAAAGTTTTTTAGACATGCTTCTAACAAACTTTCATTATAAGATAAAGCATTACAGATGTTTTATCAACAATTATTGGGAAATAAAGGCATCTTTTTTAAGGTTGAATTATCATGATTTCGTTTTTTACCTATTGCGAGGAAATTACAAGTGAAGCAAAACAGCGCAGCCCCAAGAGCAAGAGCAATAGCAAAGCCTACAAGAGAAAACCTAATTATTGTAAATAATTTTCAATACTTCATTTTTAAAAATAAAGTTTCCATGCTAATATAATCAATGAAAGATTGCTAACCATCAAAGTGATGTTCAAAACCTAATTAATTGAATTAGGTTCCACACAGGGGTAAATCAGTGGGCCCACGCCCCACAACTTTGTTGACAAATTCTTTCTCCGTGCAACAAATTTCTTTGGAGGGTGGGTGGTAAATTCAAGTCGATATATGTTATTGGGACCGTGCTTTTACTACATATGCATATATTCAGATGACATGGGTCAACTTTTACCAGATATAGTGTCGGTACATATTTATTACATGTTTTAGGAAAATCCACATACGGTTTGTGAAAATACAAATTGTTCACGTATAACATCAATTTTAGGGGGGTCAATAGAGTAGTAACATCATGCATTAAATAATTTCCTGAGTACATGAACTCGTGGAGTAACCTACATGGATCCACAGTTCCTAGAAAGCCTATAAAGTATTGGGCCAAAGAAGTCCCTTTCGAAGGGGTATGTGAAGACAACCATTTGTCACAATTGTACTGTACCACCCATGCTCCTATATATATGGGTCAAATGTTGTGTTTTAACCAACAACGATTTGTAACCAGAAGTGCTTGATTTATGGTGAAGGAAAAAGTTCAGGTTACTAATGACTCCCCGTTGTGGACATCAGAATATCGCATGGTGCCCCGTTTAAGCTTTTATTGCTAAAGTTCCGTGTCTCCTCATTGGGTCCTTTTACCAGTGTTTCAACACTTTATTGGGCTCCTATTGCACCTTCATCTTTATCCATTTACTTGCTACCTTTTGAGAGAGTATTTGTTAAAAAGTATTGCTCTATTTAAATTAATTTATCGAGTTAATAAATGTATTTATATTGATAAATAGTTAAATTAATATCTTATATATTAAATTAAATTAACGAATATATATATACATATATTTATTCAAATATATTTGTAAGCTTGCAAGATTTTTCGTATGACTCGGAGCTTAATATTTTATTTGACTGAAGCAAGTATTGAGAAAAATATGACTTTAATTGTTTAATAAATAATAAATATTTTGTAAACTAACTCTTATCAGGCAGCTTATCTATTCTTGTGCTTAGGTAAAAAATAATTAACCACCTTCTTTAATAAACTTCAATATTTGACCAAACACTACAAAATTAAAGAAAGATAAGGGACCATATACCTTATAGGAACAGAACCAACTCATATAGAAATTAGAGTAACATAGGATTCATTAATATAACGATATAGAAAGAAGAGAGACATTCAAGATTAAGGGTATGTTTAAATGTATAATTATTTAAATGTTTATTCAATAATTTTTAAAATAATAACTTACATCACATAAATTTAATAACAGAATTTATTAAATTTTTGATAAATTGGATCCTATTAAAATAAATTATAAACTATTTTAATGAGTTCTTTCAAACTCTGTTTTCAACAATGTTTGCTATTTGCAATAGAACCAATTTGAAGGACTAAATATGGAGAATGGGTGTTAATTTAAAGTGTTATGAAAGGCTAACCTTGGATGTATACGTATATTCAATAATAACAAACAAAAGAAAGTAAAATATGTCACTGTCTATGTGAGGATGTCCTTAGGTCATTTATAGAGGCAAATTAATAGACTCGTAACAAATGGACATGGTTGGGATGGTGAATAGGACTAGGAGAATGGTTAAGAGTTTGGGAGATTAATGTGAAAATGACCTACGATTTATGGCGATGAAGACGCCATTGGAAGCATGTGAAATAGACAAACATTTGGCAAACAGAGATGAGACTTATTACCAATAGGGAGAACCAACAAATCTATGAATTATTTTCCTGAAACTGATACAGCATATGCATAGGTCCTGTAAGAAAGCAAATTTTTCCATGTATATATAAACACTAAACTGATACTTATGTTTTTTCATGAAGATGTTTTAGTGAGATATCATTGTTACTTGATTTCAATTATTATAGGCTAGCTTAACATGTTCAATATTTTTTAAATAACACAAAGTCTCCATAAACAATTTCAATCTAACTCTATTGTTCTCAAAATTTTATTTAAAAGTAATGTTATATATAGTTATATAAAACTTACTTTTAAATATGTTAATGAGTACTAACAGAGAGATAAATGGTTCAATATTGTTTAAGTAAGATTTTATATTTAAATTTTTATGTATTAAAAAAATTCTGATAATAAATTCATTCATCATATTCAAATGCGTGACTCAAGTCGAATTCATATTAAACAGAATAAAAAAATAAATTGATGAATTTAAATTTAAATACAAATTAAAGAACTTATATTTTTAAAAACATTAAGGAATATATAATTTTGAAATATTAAAATAAATCTTAATACACATGATTATTTTATTATTAAAAATATTAAAAATATTTTTTTAAATTGAGTTTAAGCAACTAATAATAATTAAATTTTATTAAAATAAAAATTATTTATTATACTTATATAACATATGGTCTTAATAGAATTCGAACTTATGACTATAACTTACAAAATAGCACATTTTAATATATATTATATTATTTCATTTGAATATAATAAATAATTAATTTAATATGACAAAACATTAATATATATATATATATATATATTACAATAAAATTTTATGATAAATATATTTATAAAAAAAATATAAATTTAATTATCAATACATGATAAAATTATTTAATATAAATTAAGAATATATATATTTAATTATTACCGTTCCACGATTTAATGACACTTTCAACTAATAAATTATAAATCGATACTTTCGTCGGTTGAATTACAGTTCCAATTTTAAAAACATAATAAAATTGAACTAATGCTATCCACAGCTACTCCTTCTTAATCAGCATACATGACATTGGATTCTTATTGCTTGTTCAGGTACATTAGAGGTTGTTTCGCTTTTTTGTTGTTTCTAGTGCGACGATTGCATTGAGAACCAAACGAATGAATTCCTATAAAACACCTCCAATAAACAAGTATGCATTTGTAAAAATCTTGGGATAATGCTTCCAAACCTCCACATGATTCTATCTGTGAATGCATGCTTACAGCAAAATTTTGGGGCAATTCACATGGCAAATTGATTATATTGTGAAAAGAGAGGGTTCCCTGAAATCCAAAAACAGAAACAAAGTGAAATAAAATAAATGGTGATCTTTAACATGAAGAGAAAATCAAGTCAGTCATTGATTGCTTAAGAGATGCCCTGCCATGGCTGACACGCATGAACAAAATTGCTAGATGACAAGAACAGGCACAAATAAAAAGGGCTCACGCTATTAGCAGAATATTATGATTTATGAGAATATCGATATAAATGTCCAAATGAGAGTGTAAAAAGTAAAAGGAGTGGTTTATTATCAAACTACCTATGAGAAGAAAGAACAAAGTTGAGAGTGTGAGTGGTCATTCAAATGTCTTTCAATCTATTCAGACTCAACTTGGTCGTCGAAATTGACTTATGAACTCCACTAAGCCCATCAAGCATGTTATGATTCCTTGTTTAAGCATGTCACTTTGATTTATCGAACTCTTTCTCCCTAGTAATTTAATCTTTGTGGTTAATGACCAAACTTCTGATTAGTGGAGCGTGTTTGCCACTGTTGACTTTCGGACCAATGCTTATATTA